GGGGAATAATGGGCTTTACATTTTTCACCAGTTCATTGTCTACAGGGATTGTAGGGTTTCCAAGCAGGGATCTTGCCTCCATCCTTCTCTGTAAAGCACCATTGGAACTATATAAATGAGGGGAAGGATAAGACAATTCTCACTAATTATAGATGTTAAGATGTGGAGTCATTGCTGGGGCTATTTAGTGGTCAGACAGTGCCCAAGGTGAGAGAGAGAAGGTGGAGCTTTCTTACAATGCCCGGAATGAGAGAACTGTCCTGCATTTTCAGGAAGGTGGCAGCACTATTCCTTACATGCATTTGAGTCCTTACAGAGCCTCTCCCACACACCATCCTTAATGTATGCACAAGTTGGAATTAAGGAGAACTTGAATACTCACTGAAGAGGTAGAGGGGATTGGGTTACATGACCAGCCAAAACTTTATGGGGCCAATGACTGAATGTGAGCATCAGAGCTGTCATATAATGTACAAAGTGTCCTAAGGTAAGAAAAATAAATACAAATATTATTAGCAGCTGAACAATTTTCAATTCCACTTCTCTCCAGTTTGCCCATAACAGTCTCTGTTAATGCAGAGCTGAATCCACCTCTGCTATTACAATCTCTTTAAATCCCACCTTCTTTTCTCTGACTTTTAATAAAATCCATAGTTCAAAGCCTTTCAGTCCTGGGTAGGTCTGTAGAAAGAAGAAAAATGATTGTGGGGAGTGGAACAACCAAAGCCTCTTTATCTAAATAAGTGTTTGTATCACTCCATGGGACATCAGAGTTATCATGATCTATCCGAAGAAGTAGTTCAAAATAAATATCTGACTCTGAATCCCAAAATGATCAGAGGATATGTCTACAGTGAAATTAGGCACCTGCGACTATGGCCTATGCAAGGTGACTCAGGATTGAGGGTCTTGAGCTAAGGGGTTGTTTAATTGCATTTTGGACATTTGAGTTGACACTGGAGCTTGGGCTCTAGGACAATGCAAAGTGAGAGAGTCTCAGGGCTTGGACTGCAGCCCAAACACATATGTCTATGCTGCAATTAATCTGCCACTTATCCTGAGCCTCGTGAGCCCGAGTTAGCTGGCATGGGCCAGCCATTGGTTTCTAATTTCAGTGTGGACATAGCCAGAGTGGTAGATGCCAGGCCATGGGATTCTGGATACTAAGGAACAGGGCAGTTCTGAGTTCCAGCAAAACTTCTCTGCCATAGGAGTAATTGAGTCTTTGAGTCAGTGTCCAAAAAATGTTATTTAGAGTTTTCCCTTGCACTGAAGTGCAGTGATATGGGAGAATATGACGATCACTAACTAGATAGTAGCAGGGTGAAGTCAGGAGATTGGGAAAGGTCTATTTGCATTGCAAGAGAATGTTAACATGAGAAGGAATGGTTGGAGCTGGTTGTTGGTCAGAAAGTGCCCAGGGTGAGAGAGAATTTGGTTCTTCCTTACAATGACTGCAGAGAATTTCTTGTCTTGTGTTTACCTTTTTAGAATGGTGCAACTGGATTGCATGTTTGTTCCCAAATCGCTGCACAGACATGTCCACACATTTCCTCAATATACACACACAGAAAGAAGTGAAGGAATCTGAATACTCATTCTGGGGCAGCGGATGCACTCTGTTCGAGGAAAGCTTCATAAAAAATGAAGAGCCGAGACTCAGAGTATGGGGCAGGCAAAGAAGGATCACCAATTAAATTGGCCCATGATGGAGCACTCATTCTAAAATAATATGAATTGAAAGAAACATTAACATCAGTAGAGCCGTTCTCTCCTGTCACTCCTGTCTTTCCATAGGCCATAAACTACATGTTCCCACCTTCTAGTAAGATCAATGTTAATCCAACTTCCTTCCATCATATAATACAATTTCTCTTGTTTCGTCAGCATAAATTTCAAACCAAATTGGGGAACAGGGCTCCTGCTGTTGCCCTTGGTCCCGAAGAGTGAAAACTCCATCTGATCAGGGATGAGACATGACATTACTCAGAGGCAATGAATCTTAAGGACTATTCTCCTTACAAGTGTTTATTGGGGTCTTCAGAAGAGCTGGCAGTTCCCCCTTCCCACTACTGGACAGTAGAAATGCCTTTATAAAGACACTATTATCATAGTAGTTGTCTTCCTCACCTTGAGCCTGCCCTATAGTCTACAGTGAAATACAGACAGTGAAGCTGTCATCAGACTAGCAAGGTGATTAATTCATTTTCTGTCCTGACTCCCTTCTGTTTTCCTCTCTGAAGAGGAGCCCCATGACCTAGAAAAGTGGGTCCAAGACTGAAGGCTTAAGCACTCCCAGAGTATTTTACACTCAGAGTTGATGGAGGTCTACGCAGGACACAGCTCTTTGGCTGTGGAAGTGTTTTTCAATGACTGGATCCACACTTGCTGAATGGTTGGACTTTGTCTCATTGAAATGCTGTTCTCTCAGGTCAGGAGGAAGGTGGTCCCAGAATTATCTGCTGGGTGAGGATTGATGTGCCTTTGTGACAGATAAGAAGCCTTCACTTGGGATGAAGAAGTATGTGAGGGGCCAGAGGGATGCAGCAAATTGGCTGTGGACATGTGGTCTGGCCCTCGATGGAGTCTTCATCCTACATGAAATGGAAACAACAAAGTATTAACAGTGGATGTGCACTGGGTGAAGTCATTGCCTATGCATGTAGGGTGGGAATACACACTATGTTTGTTATGCTGTTCCTCTGTGTAAAATAACAGACAATATCCCAGTGAGTTCCTGATAATAATAATTTATCAATAATCAAAGCAATTTAGGGATAGTGGGTTTAAGGAAGACAGTGAGCAGTAGTGGAGCTAAAGCATTGCTGACTCCAATATTGAGAAGGAAACCCCATTGAAAATAGTAGCTTCATGAGTCTTTGACCCACCTAGAAAAAGAAAATTGAGGAACAGGATCTCTGAGAAGAACCCAGACATTCAATCACACAACTGTCAGGAGATTAAGAAGGAGATATGATATGCTATATATTAACCTTGCCGGCAGCTCTTATCTGTGAAGCTATCAGCCTATGGGCCAATCTGAGGCTTTTTAACTTAACTATGTGGCTCAAACACTCATCTTCCCCTTCACTAATGCACATAATGCAAAACTCTTTTCTTACCAAGAATCCAGCACTGACTTCATGTAGTCCATCCTCTTCCAATGGGTGCTCAGACTGCAAATTTATAAAAACACAGACATTCACACTAGGCATTAGAAAAACAGAGAATGTTAAATAACTAGAAAGTTAAATAGCAATGTTCTGGCCAAAGGAATAAACTGCCTAGAGAAGTAATGGAGGTTCTGTGACTGAAGATGTTCATAAGTGAGTTAGATCAGTGTATTCTCTATTTTCCATGATGTAGATAATTTGGTAAGAGTGTTCCGTTGTCATGTACTTTCTCAATCCTCCTTTATTTTGTTCTCAGATTTTTCTTCAAGCCATCAGAAAGAGCTGGGTTTACCTTTGATGGTCCGTGGATAACGTATAGAGATTCACCGTGTTAGATGAATTTATAGTAGATTAATATAGTGGAGAATCTTGAATAATGCAGGGTGGGAGGGAGGTAGCGTGGCTGATGTTCCAAATTTCACCCAATTCTGATCAGCAATGAAGCTACTGAGGAAAGGATATGTTTCTCATCACGACTATCATCTTGTTTTATTGTCACCATCCTCTGGAGCAGTGAAATACATAGATGCTGTGGTGACTGGCACTACCTAAAAACCTAGGATCACTAGCTAGAGAGGGAATTATAATTGACATTGGAAGGGCTTTTCCCAGGTGATTATCACCTCATTAGTGACACAGGACAGGAATTTATCCAGCAATGATGTAATTTCTGCAGCATGGCATGGTAGTCAAACTGTTTCCATATCTCATACAACAGAAATATGGAAAGGCCTTCGCTTCAGAAGCCCCCAGTGAGTAAGTGCGACAATGGAGTGCTCTGCTAGTTCCTTCAGGACAACTCTACAATTAGGTTTGGAGCCTGTACCTATTGGGTTCCGGGAAGTGGGTGGGCATTTGGAGCCCGTACCTATTGGGTTCCGGGAAGTGGGCGGGCGTTTGGAGCCTGTACCTATTGGGGTTCAGGAAGTGGGTGGGCGTTTGGAGCCCGTAGCGGGACAGTTACCCTGCTCCTGAGAGAAAAGGCTAGGCTGATTGGGGAAGCAGCCACAGCTGGGGCCATGCCCCAATCAGGCCATAGCTGGCCCTATAAAAGGGCTGTGAGCCAGGAGCTGAGTCAGTCTCTCTCTAGCAGTGGAGGGAGAAGGACCTAGCTACCTGGGAGTAGGGTACCAGAGGTAGCACAGTGCTGGGGAAAGGCAAGAGGTGGTGCGGAGCTCCAGGTTGGCAACTCCCCAGGCTGCAGGCCTTGTGAAAGGCCTAAAGAAGATACTGGAGTTGTAGAAGTGCAGTCTGGGTTTAGGCAGAGGCAGCTGATGATGAGTGGCTATGACAGACTGCAGTTTGCCCCAGTGAGTGGGGGCTAGATGATGACTGGCAGTAGCCACTGAGGCAAGGTTGTTGAGAGGGTTGGAGGTTCCCCTGGGAGGGGAGACCCAGAGCATGGTGGGATACTGCTGGGACAGAACCCCGAGGTAAAGGGCACCGGGGTCTGGGAGGGACATGGGGGGCCTGAGGCAGGTGAGCCACTGGCCAGCAGAGGGTGCTCTGAGCTGGAATTGAGCTAATTCCCAGGACAACCAGCAGGAAGTGCCACACCGGTGAGTCTTCGCTTCACTACAGAGCCCTTGGAAGGGCATTTAGCTGCTTTGCCCCATACAGTAGCTGCTTTTTTTCAGTGCAGTCAATGTGATCATGAAACAAATTAAAAACCAGCATTTTCAATGGACAGCCAAATAACGCGTCTGCATTGCTATGGCTGTTAACTCTCCCAGAGCCCTATGTAAAGAAATGTCATAATATGAAGCCCTAGGTGCTGCATTCCAGCACATGCTCTCTGACCAGTCCTTTCCCAGATGTGCCCATCATGCACCACAAAACTGGATTATACACAGGGTGCTGCCCAAAGATCATCTAGGAGCTGCTTTAAGTCCCTTCATGAGTATGTTTGAAATCTCTAAACCAGGGAGTGGGCAAAATTGCCATGGCAACTAGATATTAACTTGTAAAGGGTAGCTCACCTTATAGTAGAATCAGGTGCCACTATTATTTCATTATAAAGGACACAGTGAGCCTCATTGTTACTAAATTCATCAGACGCATAACAATCCATAACATGGATTTCAATCTAGGATTAGTGTGGGAGAGAATTTTTTTTATAGCCCATAAAACTCCTTTCTTAAGTTAGATTTAGCAGGAAGTGATCCCCCCCCAGTCTTTAAATATCACAGGATTGGAAGTAGAACTGATGTTAGTAAATTTACAGAATCAATATTATATGGAACTGAATGGATTAGGGGATTGTCTCTAGGATACTACTATTTATATGGGCCAGATCAATATGAATAGAAAGCCTGTGGCAGAATTGGGACTAAATCTCAGAAGTCTGGCTCTCAACCAGGAGCAGTGCCAAGGTTTTTGGCGCCCTAGGCGGAGGTCCTTCCATGCTCCCAGTCGTCATCAGCAATTCTGCGGCAGGGGGGTCCTCCCATGCTCCCGGTCTTCGGGGAACTTCGGCGGCGGGTCCAAGAGCGAGTGAAGGACCCGCCGCAGAATTGCCGCCGAAGACCCGGAGCGTGGAAGGACCCCCTGCCGCTGAATGGCCGCCCCCCCAAATCTTGGTGCCCTAGGCGATCACCTAGGTTGCCTGAATGGAAGCGCCGGCCCTACTCTCAACTCCCAGCATTAATTACAGGGGAAACATCCATTTTGATAACAAATGATCCATACTAAAATTTCCATGACTGAAGAGGATTGATAATCTTATATGTAAATAGGTGATAGCCTATTAGTAGATATTAAAAAAAATGTTCAGGTTAGACTGAAATATACAACAATCTTGAAAGTCAGAGCTGCAGGTGGATTCAGCATCTCAACTGGCATGCTGTCTATAATTTCTGCCCTCCAGGCTTTGCTTTATTGTCTTTTGCTTTCCCTACAAATAGTCCAGGTTCAAATTAGGAAAAATCTCTTCAATATCCACTAAAACTGGGCTGAAACACCAGTGGCCCCAGAACTCCATTCTCTTTTATTACTATCAATAAGGGAGAAGAGAATCACTTTCTGCTATATGAAGTTTGAATGCGAAATCTTGAATCTGACACAGCAAAACTTCTAAAATAACTGCAATACAGCAACCCACTAACCAGTTCTTCTAGATACAAAGCTGAGCCCTGACTTGAGCTGAATGCACTGGTAGCTGGGCTTGGCCTGGGGGACTTCACAATGAGGGGTGTGGTAGAAATGCCATGCCAACCACGTGTTAATTCCATAAAAGGGCAATGCACAGGCTACTATGTATGTATACAGCCTTGCCCTGCCTACCCAAGTGCTTGTGTTCTCTAGAGGCTAGATCAGTCAAAGCCCAGTATGAACACGAAATGTTGATGCATTTAAAGAAATATCCATGAATGTCCTTATAAATACTGAGCTTTTCAACAATGAGTTTTTGATATTAGTCAGGGTGCCTGCACTAAGCTAGCAACTTGCTTCCAAGATTCTTAAAATGGCAACAATTGTTAAGACAGAATACACAGTGTGGAGTAGGTAAATATTATCTCCATTTTAAAGATGGAGAAACAGAGGCTCAGTGATGATATATATTGAGATCTATTTGGGTGACCAGATGTCCCATTTTATAGGGACAGTCCTGTTTTTTGGGACTTTTTCTTATACAGGCGCCTATTACCCCCACCCCCAGTCCCGTTTTTTCACAGTTGCTATCTTGTAACCCTAGATATTAGGATATATCTATCAACCATGACATCAATCACTTTCTATTTATATGAATAATATTGTCTGCACTAAAGGTTTGATTGAAGGTCCAGTGTAGTCAATAATGGTCTTCATGGCATGTAATTGGGTGTGGATTAGGTCCTTAGATGAGAACACCATGCTTTCAAAGATCTCAAAATGCCAAATAATAAGTTATACAACATCTTTTCAAATCCTTACTATTATCCTTATTTTAAAGGTGAATAAAATGAGGTGCCATGAAGGTAAATGATTTCACCAAACCCAGAGCAAATCAATGCCTGAAGTGAGAGTAGAACCCAAGAGTTGTGCCTCCCTAATCTAACCACCAAAGACCAATTTAGTGAGAATGCCTGCTGAATGTCCAGTACTGACCCACCACACAGACCGACAATGTGAACATTGCCTGAAAACCTCTATCTGATTAGTCAGTGGGATTTTGTATTTTATTGCCAAAATGTATCAGTGAGTGGAGAACTCTGACTATACTACAGTTGGACCAACTATCCCATTCTGCTACAATTCTGAACATGGTGAGCGGTAGCCTTTTATTTATTCCTCATGTTTTCCATGGGAATAGTTTCACTTCAGGAGGACAGAAGGAATGTTATAAACTGGTAACTGGTAACAACTGGTCTAAAACCTCTGTGGACCCACAACTCAATTAATAGACAATTTACACAACTGTGTTAAGTTGGCCATCTGAGAAAATGCCAAGTGTCAAGTCTGACACCACAGGGATTTCCAAAATTGCTGCAGTACAGCACAGCACCAACCAGCTCTCTCGGAGGCCAAGTTGAGCACTGACTAGAGCTCAGTGCCCCAGAAGCTGTGCTTGGGCCAGGTGATGTCATAATGAAAGATGTAGCAGAATTACCACGACAAGCAGGTGCTAACTCCCAAAAAGGGAATATACTGGGTCTTATGTATGTGTGCATCCTTGCTTGGTCTGCCCAAGTGTTTGTGATTATCTTGTCCTCCCTATCCCAGAAAGAGAATAAAAGCCCAAACATTAAGGAGAGCTGAGGGTGATTCTTCTTTAGCTCAAGTGACAGGCCTGTTTTTTTGGAATTTATGATCCTGAGAGCTTAGCACAGGAAACAGAAAACACCTGGTTTCTGTTGTGTCTATCTGCATTAAGACTCAGAAGCAGTAATTTATCACATATGGAACAATAGTCAACTCTAGTAAAGTTTAGAAGGGGAGATTAAGACTCAGGAGAGCTGTGTTCCCTTTGTAGTTATGCCACTGATTGTCTGTGAACTTGCTTATGTTACTTAACAACGCTGCTC